GACCTGCTCTGTTCTCCCTGAGCACATCAGAAGTGCTGAGGGGTTCTGACATCCAGGAACACACCTCAGGAGAGACGAGGGGAGTCTGAAAAAAACAAACCCAAATTTCTGGAACTGCCTTCTGCACTCTTTGTTCTTTTGTGAGTGCAGATGCTGACAAGCACTTTTGCACTGGGACCAGGTTCATCTGTCACAGCTGAACACCAGGACAGGCCCCTATGCCCACCATGCCCATGAGCCCAGGGGTGCAGAGCAGGGCTGAGCCCTCACAGCCAGTGGGCACAGGGTCTGCTCCTCATGGAAAATGTAGTGAACCCCAACCAGGGCTCCAGTCACGGAGCTGAAGGAGAGACTCCTAGAGAAGGAAAACCAATGGAGCAGTGAGAGGGTGTTGGAAAGAGGCTTTGATTTTTCTCAGGATGTTCTGCCCTAACTTGTCACTGTCCTTTCCTCCTTGAACAGGTCCCCACATCCAAATGCAGCAAATGGCCAACAGCAGCTCCATGGCCCAGTTCCTGCTCCTGGCATTCTAAGACAGGTGGGAGCTGCAGCTGCTGCACTTCTGGCTCTTCCTGGGCATCTCCCTGGCTGCCCTCCTGGGCAACGGCCTCATCCTCAGCGCCGTAGCCTGCGACCAGCACCTGCACACCCCCAGGGACTTCTTCCTGCTGCACCTCTCTCTCACAGACCTGGGCTGCATCTGCACCACTGTGCCCAAAGCCATGCACAACTCCCTCTGGGGCGCCACAACCATCTCCTGCACAGGATGTGCTGCACAGGCCTTTTTCTTTTATTTTTTATGTCAGCAGAGTTTTCCCTCCTGACCATCATGTGCTACGACCGCTACGTTGCCATCTGCAAACCCCTGCACTATGGGACCCTCCTGGGCAGCAGAGCTTGTGCCCACATGGCAGCAGCTGCCTGGGCCTCTGGGTTTCTGTATTCTCTGCTGCACACAGCCAATACATTTTCCCTGCCCCTGTGCCAGGGCAATGCCCTGGCCCAGTTCTTCTGTGAAATCCCACACATCCTCAGGCTCTCCTGCTCACACTCAGGCTACCTCAGGGAAATTGGGTTCATTGTGGTGGGTGCCTGTTTAGGGTTTGGTTGTTTCATTTTCAAGTTTTTCTCCTATGTGCAGATCTTCAGGGCTGTGCTGAGGATATCCTCTGAGCAGGGACGGCACAAAGCCTTTTCCACGTGCCTCCCTCACCTGGCCGTGGTCTCCATGTTCCTCAGCACTGCCATCTTTTCAAACCTCAAGCCCCCCTCCATCTCCTCCTCATCCCTGGATCTGACCCTGTCAGTTCTGTACTCAGTGGTGCCTCCAGCCCTGAACCCCCTCATCTACAGCCTGAGGAACCAGGAGTTCTGGGATGCCATAAGGAAAATGATGACTGGATACTTTTCAGGAGCAATAAAGTGCCTGTGTTCTGGTGTGGAACTTTCAGAAGTGGGCTCCTAAATGGCTCAGCCTTCCTGCTCACTTTTTCGTTGAGGTCATCAGGTTCTTCTTGCAATGATTTTCTGTTCATTAAAATAATATTATGCATTTGTCTTCAAATTTAGTGTCTACCCATTGAATTTCTGCCAGAGATGTATAAATGATGAATTGTGCTCTCTGAGTATTTAAACAAAATAAAGGACCCTGCAGTGCCTTCTTTGTCCAAGACCCTTCTTATCTGTTCCTAAAGGACAGCACACTGGAGGGCAGGGAGGATTTGCCAAGGGGAAGGGGACAAGGATCCCAGCACAGCAGCACTGCCAGGGAGCAGCAGAGATTGGGCTTTGCAGAGCTGCTCTTTCCACTTCCACACTGTCCTCCTGAGCCCCTTTCTGGCTGCAAGGCCTGAGTGCTCTCTGAGCACAGTCCTGGGGGTGGGAGCCCTTTGAGCACAGGCAGGGACAGGCACTGGGAACTTGTGAAGCAGAGCTGGGCTCCCTGGCAGCATCTCCAGAATGCTGTGGGATCTTCTGAGGCCACTGCATGCACTGGGTCACTTCTTCTGTGCCCTTGCTGCAGGGCTGGAACTCTCCTGCAGTGACACCAGGACACTCCTGCTCTTTGCATTCCCAGCCTGATTTTTAGATCCAACCTTGCCCTGCTGTTGCCAGGGACATGCTGGGAGTGCTTCAGAGCTGCCATCCTGGGGCAGCTCCTGCCCAGCGTGGGCAGGCACAAGGTCTCTCCCCCTGCTCCTCTCAGCTCAGCAGTGCCACTGTTTGCTGCAGCCTCCTCCTCCTTGCCCAGCACAGCCCTCCTGGCAGAGTTGGACACAGCCCTTGTTCTATCCCCTCCTCATGGCCCTGCCCAAGCCCCTCAGCTACAGCCTGATGGCCAGAAACCTTCAGGGCAGGGAGAGACCATTGGAGTGGTGGGTCTGTAGGGAGCAATCACTGCTGCTTTCCTTCTGAATCACCCTCAGGACCTGGACAAGCCTGTATTTGGTTTGGTTTTCATAAGGCCCTTCAGTGTCAAAGTGACCCCTTGATTCCAGGAGGCTGCACAGGGTCATCCAAAGCTGAGCCCACCCAGATGGAAGTTTGGGGTAGATCAGGAGGAACTGGGACAAAAAGGATTGGATATTTGGGGAAGAAAAGACGGGCTTGGCCAACAGAGAGGAAAGATTTTGATGAGGTAAAAGCAGGTTCAGGTAATTCTGAGGATGCTGGAACACGGCCTATGCAAACAATACTGGTAACCTTAAAACTATTTCTAAACTCAAGTCCCAACACTCCGAAAAAGGGCTGCCCCTCACTTTGGAAAGAATCCACTGCTCTTATCCCGACCTTAACCTGACCTCAAAGGCAAAGCCCAAATGCAGAACTCTAGACACTTATTTTTTAATCCAGTGCCCATCCCAATCCCAAACCTGCATTGGTAGTATGAAAAGCGTATAATCCTAATCCAGCCCAAAAAGCTCTTCCCCTAACCGTGAACCTGACCCTGCCAGCAGAACAACAAACCTGCCAAAGTTCTGCCCAATCCCCACCCTGAGCTCTAAAGCCCAAGGCCCGAGCATGAAGCACCCCCAGAGCCCTTTGGGAGCAGGGCAAGGACCTGCAGGGCCCAGAGCAGGCCCAAGGGGTTGGCAGAGCAATGGGAGGTGACCTGGATCTGCTCAGCTCTGCAGGGACCCCCAGCAGAAGGGCCTGGGCTCTGTCAGGGATGTCCTGGGCCACAGGGGCTCAGCTGCAAAGCCAAGAAGGCCAAGTGCACATGGCAGCAGCCAGAGCTGGGGGACAGCAGAGCCATCAGGGAGGGCCCAGAAATGCTGCTGGCAGGGGGGTGGCAAAGCAGGAGGGGTGTGTGCAGCCTGCAAGGCCAGAGGAGCAGCAGGGCCAGGGGAGCACAGCCTGCAGCACAGA